AAAATAAAATGTTTTTGTGTTTTTTTTAAATTAAGTTTATTGGGGTAACATTGGTTAATACAATTATATAATTTTCAGGTGTACTTTATAATTTGACATCTTTGTAGTCTATTGTGTGTTTACCACCCAAAGTCCATTTTCCTTCAGCTACCATATATTTGATCCCCTTTACCCACTTCGCCCTCTCCCTACTCCCCTATATTTGACCCCCTATATTCTGTCTACCTCCCGCCTCCTCTCCAATGCCCCTATCCTGTGGTAACCACTAGTTTATAGTCCATGTCCATGAGTCTGTTTGTTTGTCCTGTTCAATGTTTTGCTTTTAGGTTTATATCCCACATATAAGTGATATGTGATTTTCAACTTTTACTGTCTGACTTATTTTGTTTTGTATGATTATGTCAAGGTAAATCCATGTTGTTGCAAAAGGCCATATTCTATCTTTTCTTATGGCTGAGTAATAGTCCATTGTAAATATGTGCCACCGCTTCTTTATCCAATCATCTATCATAGGGCATGTCGGATGCTTCCATGTCCTGGTCACTGTGAATAATGTTTCTGTAAACATCAATGTGCAAATATCTTTTTGCATATGGGTTTTCAAGTCTTTTGAGTAAATATCCAGTAGAGGGATTGCTGGATCATATGGTAGATCAATTCTTAGTTTTTTGAGGAACCTCCATACTGTTTTCCATAGTGGCTGTACCAATTTGCAGTCCCAACAGCAGTGTATGAGAGTTCCTTTTTCTTCTCATCCTCTACAGCATTTGTTATTACAAATTCTGTTGATTATAACTGTTCTAAGAGGTGTGAGATGGTATCTCATTGTGGTTTTGATTTGTATTGCCTTAATAGCTAGAATTGTTGAGATCTTTTCATATATTTGTTGGCCATTTGGAAGTCCCCTAGGGAGAAGTGTCTGTTCACGTCCTCTGCCCATTTTTTGATGGGATCATTTGTTATTTTGTCGTTATTGAGAAATATGAGTTACTTGTATATTTAGGATATTAAGCCCTTATTGGAGGCGCTGCTTGCAAATATATTTTCCCATTCGGATGGTTGTCTTTTCACCTTATTGACAGTTTCTTTTGCTGAGCAGAAGCTTTTTGGTTAGATATAGTCCCATTCATTTATTTTTGCTTTTACTTCCCTTGCCTTTGAGGTCAAATTCATAAAATCCTCTTTAAGTCCAAAGTTCTTGAGTTTAGCTCCTATGTTTTCTTCTATGCACTTTATTGATTCCAGTCTTATATTCAGGTCCTTAATCCATTTTGAGTTAATTTTGGCGTGTGGTGATAGACAACAGTCTAGTTTCATTCTTTTGCAGGTGGTTTTCCAGTTTTCCCAGCACCATTTATTGAAGAGGCTCTCCTTTCTCTACTGTATGCTTTTGGCTTTTTTGTCAAAAATTATTTGCCCAAATAAATATGGGTTTATTTCTGGACTCTTGATTCTGTTCCACCGGTCCGTGTGTCTGTTTTGCTGCTAATACCACGCCATTTTAATTACTATCGCTTTGTAATATAATTTGAAGTCGAGTAAAGTAATGCCTCCAGCCTCAGTCATTTTTCTCAGGATAGCTTTGCCAATTCGGGGTCTTTTGTACATCCATACAAATCTGATGATTTTTTGTTCCATTTCTTTAAAAATGCTGATGGGATTTTGACGGAGATTGAATTAAATCTGCATAATGCTTTAGGTAACAAGGTCATTTTAACTATGTTGATTCTTCCAATCCAAGAACGCGAAATATCTTTCCATTTCTTTGTATCTTCTTTGATTTCTTTTAATAAGGTCTTATAATTTTCATTATATAGGTCCTTCACATGTTTTGTTAGATTTATTCCTAGATATTTTATTCTTTTTGTTGCAATTGCAAAAGGAATTATTTTTTCCACTTCTTTTTCTGACACTACATTATTAGAATATAGGAACACTATGCATTTTTTGAACATTGATTTTGTCTCCAGAAACTTTACTGTATTTGCTTATTGTTTCTAGCAGTATTCTTGTGGAATCTTTAGGGTTTTCTATATAGAGCATCATATCATCTGCGAAAACTGACAATTTGACTTCTTAATTCCCTATTTGGATGCCTTTTATATCTTTCTCTTGTGCCAAAT